GCAACTCAACAAGGAACAAGAAAAGAAAACAAAATGAGAGGAAAGGTGAAAAGGAATGTCAGGAGTTGCAAATACGGCCAAGAATTGACGGACGCAATTCAAATAGAAGATAAGAAAAGGATACGCAAGGGGGAAGGAAGAATGGAGAATGGAGAAGGCGGAAGGGAAAGGGGTCAGGAAAGGGAAGGGGGAAGAAAGGAAAGGAGAGGGTAGACGTGGTAAGGAAAGGACACGAAAAGAAAGGAAGGAGAAAGGACGGGAGATTGCATCAGCGCATTTCAACAAGGAACAAGCAAAGAAAACAAAATGAAAGGACAGGTGACAAGGAATGTCAGAGGATTTAAAAACAGCCAAGAATTGCCGCGCGCAATTCGAATAGAAGATAAAGGAAAGGACAAGCAAATCAGGCAAGGGAAAAGAGAGAAGGGAGGAAGCAGAAAATGGAACTGAAAGGGCTCAGGAAAGGGAAGGGAAAAGACATTGGGAAGAAGGAGGAAATGAAAGGGCAACCGTGGAGAGGAAGGAAAGGACACGACCACGAAAAGAAGGGAAGGGGAAAGGACTGGAGATTATCTTCTCCATGCGCCAGCGCAGTTCAACAAGAAACCGGAAAGAAAACAAAATGAGAGGAAAAATGAAAAAGGTCGAGCATTGCCGGATGCAATTCAAATAGAAGATAAAGGCAAGGATACACAAGTGGAAGGGAGAATAAAGAAGGGAAAAAAAATGGGGGAAGGAGAAGGAGCAGGAATGGGAAGGGGGAAGAGAAATGGGCAGAAAAGAGAAAAGGAAAGGAAAGGTGGAAGGAAGAAAAGAGAAGGGGAAGGGTGAATGGAGGAAGGAGAAGGAGCAGGAATAAGAAGGGGGAAGGGAAATGGGAAGAAAAAGGAAAGGACAGGGCATGCGTGGAGAGGGAGGAAAGGACACGAAAAGAAAAGAAGGGACTGGAGAGTATCTTCTATACGCACCAGCGAAGTTTAACAAGGAACAACGAAAGAGGATGGACATGGGAAAAGCCAAGAAAGCATATAGGAAAGAGAAATATGAACGTAACGGAGACGAAGAAAGGTTAGGCGTAGAACATACCACGAAAATTTGCCAGAGGAAAAGAAGTAAGGGGAGAGAAAGAGAGGAGCCAAGGCCAAATGTTGAAAATAATTACAACAAATTACAACAAGGAAAGAACAGCTTTTTTCCCTCCCTCCCTCCCTCCCTCCCTGCCTGCCTGCCTGCCTGCCTTCCTGCCTTCCTCTTCCTTCCTTTTCCTCTTCCTCTTCCTCTTCCTCTTCCTCTTCCTCTTCCTCTTCCTCATCCTCATCCTCTTCCTCTTCCTCTTCCTTCTTTCCTCTTCCTTCTTTCCTCTTCCTTCCTTCTTTCCTCTTCCTTCCTTTTCCTCTTCCTTCCTTATTTCCTCTTCCTTCCTTATTTTCTCTTCCTTCTTTCCTCTTCCTTCCTTCTTTCCTCTTCCTTCCTTCTTTCCTCTTCCTTCCTTCCTTCTTTCCTCTTCCTTTCTTCTTTCCTCTTCCTTCCTCTTCCTGCCTCTTCCTTCCTCTTCCTTCCTCTTTCTTCCCTCCTTCCTTCCTTCCTTCCTTCCTTCCGTCCGTCCGTCCGTCCGTCCGTCCATCCGTCCCTTCCTTCCTTCCTTCCTTAAGCTAGTACTGACAAACATGTAACAAATGCAAAAATATCAATCTTCTATTTGCCTCAGACCTGTTTATTTTAGAAGATTGCCTACTTTTCAGGAGTGGTCATTTCTTCTATTTCCTTAAACAATTCTTCACATTCTTTCACTCATATGCACAAAAGCTATCAGCATCTATATACATCAGACAAAACAGGTGACAACTCGCAACCTGGACTAAACACGAGTGCTAGTTCCTCATGGCTCTAACAGTGAATCAATCCACCTGTTGCTGGGACCAGATTAGAACCCAGAAACTCTTTTGTTGCAGGAGCATAGAACTCATCGACATCTGAACTGATGCAAAACAAAGGGCACTAGGACACTCCTTTATGTTCTTCTGATGCCTTTCTTTTTGCGAAAGAAACAACAGCTCAGGTGGAGACAAACATAAAATGAAGCAGTCAAACACGAGACAGGCGACCTTAGAAGTTGCAGAAACCTTTTCACGATGCGCATCGACCACACGCTGTGAAGGGTGGCTGCTGGTTCCTCCTCATTTCTCAGGCCGGAGGGCGAGATAATGAGCAAAGCGTCTCACCTCATGAGAGTCGAACATTCAGCTTGTCAGCTGACTCCCATTGGGAGTATCTGGGCCCTGTTGCATAAATTCCAAATCTCCAATGCATTCCAAAGTTTGCCATGATCATCACAGGGACCTCGGAGTTTGGATGAGAGTTTGGGTGTCCCCTCCGATACGCACAGAATATATAGACACGTCCTACACAGACAACTGAAAGACTGGCACAGTACACAAAATTCACTGAGAGACTGGCACCGGCCAGAGCCAAACATGTCGCAAACACCTGCAGCACTGCAGCGCTGCCCCGTGCGAGCTTTCCCAGTTGTTGGACAATTTTCGTCGGTGTCACCCGTCGGTGAGGATGACGTCGCGGCGAATGACTAACTAACTGACCAAATGTCATGTCAAAGACATGGCTCTGGGTCGAAACCAGGATACCTTGGTTGACCAACCTAAGAGGTCAAGCTTCATAATGTGGGGCTCCAGGTTTTGACCCATCCTCATATGGAAAGTCAAAAGCTCTGTGCCAACGATGTCTGCAGTTGCAGAAAAAGACGCATTCAAGTCAGTTGTTTGCAAAATGCAGTCATATACATACATAAACATATATACATATTATATTTTGTACATTTGGGTGTATATTTTACTACAGAAACCCCCTGGCCTGGCTGGGTAGACTGGTCTATTTGCCGAACCGAAGGAGTCAAACTGAAAGGTCTCCCTATGTTCGCTACACACCCATGTTGAGTTGAAGCCGTTTGACCCAAGATCGCCTGCAAGTTGGCACCAAGAGACGTCCCGGCCACAATCCTTGGGAGCCAAGTGTGCGCCACGTCTTGAGTGCTTCGCGAGGCGCTCCGCGCCACGTCGGCTTCTTTGGACCAAAGCTTGAAAATTCATTCCGGTTGGGTGAACTCTTTTTCGCTTGTCCTGAAACTTGCGGTACTTTCCTCGGGTTCCAGCAAGTTCTGGTGAGCATCAACGGCACAAAGAAACCCAATCGCCCGAACGAACCTCGGAAAAAAAAAAAAAAAAAAAAATCCAGAAGGACACGGGCGCGCAGCTCAAAGACAGTGTCTGGGGCACTGGCGTTAGTAAACTCGCCAGGTACCTTATCAAAAAATACCAAATAAACAAAATATCCACCCTGAGAACAACACTGTTCAAAAAGTACATGTCATCTTGTGCGCAGAATTTGGCTTTTGATTGGTCTGGCAGTCGGGCCTTTCCCAACAACATTACTGAACTGATGTTCAATGTCTTGCCTGTTCTCAATCAACCTTTTTGTGTTGAACAACTGCAAGGGGAAACCGTCCCCTTGCTTCGTAGAATGCAAGAAGCCGCAAGACTCAATTTGGACAAAGAACGATGTATATATTTTGTGCTTGGGCAATTGCCAATCACAAACATCCTGGAGTGTTTGTTTGTGATGTTTTTTCAATTGTGTTGTTTGTCATTGTTTCTTGGTCTTCAGTCAAGCAGCACACAGACCTCGTTGCTAAGACCTCGAGGAACGAAATACAAAATGCAACACCAACACTTCAATGCAGCACACAACCATTGCACAATTGCCTCTTTAAGCTCGCAGCAATCTAGCATGGTTGGCCCAACTACGTTAAGTTTCTGAGTGGCTCATGCCTCTGAGCCAAGGCCTGCTGAACTTCAGCTGAAAAAAAAACATATTTACGATACATACTTGTTATCTTAGAGGCCGATGGTCAACCATATATCCGGTCCGCACACTGCATTTGACATTTTACCCAACGGTTTTCCGTTGTTTGTTCCATTGCAACAAAAATGTCCAACGCTGAACCATGTCACAATTCTAGTCTTTGCACCTGCAACACAATGATAAATTAAGTGACCATACGCTGAAAAACAATTTAATGATTTGTCCATGCCAAATGCCTGCACCCTTGACCGTGTGAAGTTCGCATATGTGCACTAATTATGAAAAGTATGTTGGCTAAAGGATTAGTTTTTGGTCTTGCAAGGTCGATTGCCCTTCGCTGCACATGCACGAACTCGGGCCTTGCTCCATTTACGGTTGCCAAAATGGTTTGACACTTTGCAATGTTGCCGAAAAAGGTACAAACACACTGTACATAATTGCACCATTCCTGAAAATTTGCTCAATGCAAAACAGGTTGGCGCTTGCAACATGGGACATCACACCTAAAAAAACTGTACACGAACATTGTCCACATGAGTGTTTTCCTGCACTCCTAGATTCTAGATCATGTTGATGAATTAATAATTGACATTCGGTGGACATGCAACCTGGAACACGATGCTGGCTCAGACCCGGATCTAAGTTTCGGCTCTTCTTTTATTGGGTGTTGTTTTTCCGCAGAGGTGTCTCCCACTTGCAACCACTATTGTGGGACTCTTGTTGCACGGTCTTGCGCGGGGACTTTCTTATGGGACACGTGACGGCTCAAAGCAACACTGAGGAGGTCCTCCTCGAATGGACAAGACCAAGAACTCCGTGCTAGAAGACTTTTTCACCTCATTCAGCAAGCATTCGCTGGATCCAAAGGTTGAAACATGATTCGCACCCAGAGGTGGCGAACAGCTCCACTAGTTCATGATTCAGAGAGGTCAGTAAAGAGGCGGCTTGAAGAGGTGGGGTTACAGGTGGTTGGGTTTGGTGAAGAAGAGAATGGGGACATGGACGTCGATTTTGTCCTGCCCGGCTCCAGAAAGGGAAGGAGAGCCTGTGAACCTTGATGTGATTCTCAACATGGTTCATTCAAAGTGCCCAGCACAAGTGGTGAACCAAGTTTCTTGCTTGGAACATCAGTTTGTGATGTCATGGACATTGACCAGAATGTTGGAGTTCACGGCTTCTCTCATTTTTGGTGGCAACACTGTTGATGTGAAGGTTTGTGAAGGTGTCACGGACAAGCTGACGGAACATCCGATTGACCACTGTCAGGTGATTGAAGGGTTCCGAACAGAGATGACCCAGCTCGAAGGTGCCCCACAAGACTGTTCCCAAGTTTTTCACAAAATTTTCCCCCAAGAGTGTCCCAGGAAAGTGTCCCTTCAGAGTGAGTGTCCTGGAAGTGTCCTTCAAAGTTGTTCCACAACTCCACAAGCTGTTATGGAGTACGCTGTGGCATGGCGCCGCTTCCCTCCCTCGGGAGGGAGGCTACTGGCAACAACCCGTTTTGCTCGCACAAGACCCTGCCACTCTTGTCATGCAAGAAGTCACACCATCACACAACGCACAGGCCACATCGAAGACTCATTGCCCTTTCGCTTGTCATGTCAGAGTTTTTGTGCTCCTCTGTTTTCCCAGGCCTTCCTTCAAGCTGTGATAATTATGCACTTCGACTCGCATTCCTTAGACTTCAGAAATATGGCAGAGTGGCCAACAGGTGCTTTACAGCCACCTGCTGATCAAGATGAGCACGAGCACTTCAAACAGTGCTCTCTGCACAGGCCTGCCGTGACAGGCCTGTCGCCTACCACCCTAATTGACAATATGCTGATGCATCGCACTACGGATTACCTGTCCTTCGATCTTTTTGCCTTAATTCATTGCCCAAACGTCTTCGCAATAGCGTCTCAACGTTTCACCACAGATTTCACCCTTTGCACGTGCAATGCAGGGTCTTCTTGTTTTCTGCTGCGGTTTATGGTTTTGTTGTTTGGGGCTTTGCGAGTTTCGTTTGGTTTGGTTGTTTTCTGTTTTGGCCCTTTGGAGACTCTGCCTAGAAAAATTCACAAGCTGGCCTGTGCACCTTCTGCATGAATGGCGGCTCCACCCGTGCAAAAACTTCAAAGTTGTTTCCACAAGAGTGTCCTGCAAGAGTGTCTTGCAAGAGTGTCCCACGAGAGTGTCCCACAACAGTGTCCCACAAGAGTGTCGCACGAGTGTCCCACAAAAGTGTCCCACAAAAGTGTCCCACAAAAGTGTCCCACAAAAGTGACCCGTCCAGAAGAGTGTCCCGTCCAGAAGAGTGTCCCACAAGAGTTTTCCACAAGAGTGTCACAGTGTCTTGCAAGAGTGGAGCAACGCACGGATCTTGAACCCCAAGAGTGTCCCGCAAGAGACGCACAAGAGCCTTGCATGAGTGCCCCAAAGAGTTTTGTTTTGTTTTGTTCCGTTGCCTTTTGGCTCAAGCACCTTTGGCTCAAGCCAGACCGCACTGCATTTCAGCCGATCCGCTTCTTCCCTTGCTCTCTCGCTTGACGTCGTGAGGAACCTTTGCGAGTGTCGTACGCGGCTGCAGTGAGAACAAACTAGCAATTTGGTGCTGGTCTCCCCTCACAATAGAACCGTATCTATGGACGTTGCATCCATTGTTCCTGTTGCCATTGGTCAGCATGGTCTTGACTTTACGCCGTTCGCACAACAGTTGTGTCGCAGGGATGATTTTGAAGTTAAGTTGGTCCAACCCTCTTCGCCTGGCAGTAGCAAGCTTTCACAGAACTGCCTCCGAATGGCAGCAAAGAGTTCATGTCCCGGAGTGGACTTTACAGTCTGTTCCTCTGTCCATGCAGCAGTGTTCTATTGTTGTGTCTGATGGCCACGTGGTTCACCCTTTCACCGCACGTCACAAAAGAGGGTTTCATTTTGCATGGCTCGAACCCAGAGCATCGAGCCACTGTCTGTCGATTTCTCAGCCAATCGGAGCACTTCCACTCACTGAGTTATAGGCATTGCCTGAAGGTCAAGCACGACGTCCTTCCCTTTCAGTGAATTGAAGCACCTGCCGCGCTGGGAACCGAAAGTAGCTCAGCCAAAAAGGACAACGCAACCCTGGCTCACCCCCCAGGCAGAACAGCGCCTGCAACAGGGGCTCCCTTGAGGCCAATGCACTTAGGCGACCCATCTGAAGTGCAGGTCGGCGTTTATGCGGTGCAGGCATGCAGCCCCAGGACATGGAGTTCCGAGAGAACGAGTACTCCGAGAAGTCCAGTCGCGTGCCTCAGTCATCAGAGACGCGGCCTCGACTTTTTTTGCATTTTTTTTGTTTGCACGGGTCGAGGCGCTATGTGTGCAGAGGATGCACAAGTCACCTTAAGCTAGTAAAGAGAGGGTTACGAACCATGAGGCCAAACAACACCGACAAGGGAAAACACAAGCAAAAAACAAAAACCACAAACCCACAAACCAACACCCCAAAAACAAAGGCCAGGTTCGTAACTCGAGTCGGCAATGTCAGCCTGTTGAGAAAGGTGAAACATGGGGCAATGAATTCAGCCTTTGCACTCAGTACGTCACCATCACGTCATTTGGTCATTTAGTCATTTTTCTACGAGACGGCAATACCAGCATAGTTGCAGCAGTTTAAGTGCTTGAGGCCATGCAACAAAAGGGCTATTCTGATCCAACACTGCAGTGTGCCGGGTTGCAAGGACTGGAGTAGGACGAGTGTTTGAGCGGTGTTTGAGCGGCCGCTCATTCAAAGGCAAAAGAAACACACACGGCCACCATCATAAGAGCAGTAGAAGCAAATGGCCGGACTGGACATCTAGGCACATGAGGCTCAGGGAAGACCACTGTGTCTGCAGACGAGGACTTCAAATCAACGCCGGCAAGAAACAGCGGAGCCAAAACATGCAGAGCAGCGATGCATTGCGAGCATGCACTTTTTGCACGAGTCGAGGCGCTATGTGTGCAGGTTCTGCACAAGTCACCTTGGTCGAGTTAAGAAGGAGTTACTGTACAGGTTGCAATCCAAACAGAAGAACAAAACCCCCAACCCCCAACCAACAAAAACACAAACCCACCAGAGGAAGGAAGCAACCTGTTGCGCAACTCATGTGGCCATGTAAGCCGTAAGAGAAGAGGTGAGACAGGGGCAATGAATTCCGCAAAACTCTCAGTACTTCTTGTCCCTCAACAACTGCTTTGTACTCGCTAAGTGCATGGCATAGTCAGGAAATTTGGAATTATGGAGATGGTAACGGGAGGTAAATCAAGACTCCCCTCCACGAGTTTGAGGCAATGACAAGTTGTGTGCCTGCAATGCGCTTGAGAGGCATCAGTGTGTCGTATAGTAATAACCGACAGAGGGTCCACTCAGGACAAGGTAGATGCACTCTGAGTTGACTGGAATCTCCAAAATGCCGAAAGAGAAGGAGCAGTGTGGCAACCACCATGCAGTCACAGGCCGAGTAGGCCGCTGCAAAGCAGCGTGTCCCGATCCTCCCCCCAAGGGGGGAGAGGGCAACATTGAGAGCGTCGATTCCGCAAGGACTCCAAAACGGCGTGGCAACGGGAGTAATGCGAGAACCGCTCCCAATTGTGAGCAAAGGAGCGCAGCATTTACATCAGAAATGCAGCAGTCAAGCACATTGTAGCAATTCTCTTCAGTGGCCAATCAAGATCGGCTAGCACACGCAAAGCCCCATGAACTACTCGAAAATGGGTGAAACACGGTGAAACGCCGTTTTCCTATCTGTACACTATACCCATCCAGCGCCGCTACGCGGGTAACAGCCTGGGCTCTGTCTAGCTACTCAGGCTAGCAGATTTTGCCGTCAAGACGTTGCGGCACTCACAGGACCAACGCACGGGCGCCAGCCTGAGAGGCTAGCTTTGAGGTGTTAGGCAATGTGCTTGCTTAACCTGCCTGCTGCACTACTGCTAGTGAGCAGCATGGGGCAGGTTTATGCAACACATAGTGGCGGAAATGCCCT